AAAAAAAAAAAAAAAAACAAAAAAACAAAAAAAAGAAAAGAAAGTATTTTAACAAATTTGAACGAATAAAGTCATTGCTATCAAATATCTGGAGTAGCAAAAAGAAACTTCTAAGAATGAAGATTATGCTGTAATTGTAATGCACCAATAAATTCATTTTACCTAAAACCTCCAATGAAAAATTCACAATTGCATTTAATACTTTGCTAGTTATGTAAAGTTTGACACAGGCAATCAGGTTTTCTGGATACCCACCTTTATCATGTGTTTTTATGTTGTGCTGCAACTATTTAGATTTTTTTGTTTTTTGTTTGTCTTGTGTGCTGAATAACGGTATTTGGTTTAAAGGGAAAATTGTGCGATCTCCTTATGGAGTTGTGCATGGAAAAAGTTCTCTTGTCTATTACAATGAAGGTGGGGAAGATGGCTTGTTCGCCGGCTTATCAAAGTAAGTTCTTTTTCATTTGCAACAAATTGTTGTTATTGAAAAAAGGCAATTGGTTATCTCCACAGATGTGCATAGTGGCATACTTATTTAAGCACTGATGTTTATATATTATTGTCTGCTGTCTAAGTTAAAGGGGTTGCTTATATAAGTCTAGAAGTTATCCAACTTCGTTTCCTTTTTTAAACCTTCGTTTATACCTCATTCTCTATATATGAAGCTGCATATCTAGCCAAGTAGTTATTGGAGTAACTTGAAGAAAATGTAACAGTTTAATTGGATGCTTGAACTGTGTATGGTCGTCTATAATTTATAACTGGACATCGTTCTCCTGATATTATAAATTATTAAAATTTAATGCTTATATTCGTAAGTACATACATGATTCAATATGGTTCAGAATAATTGATGCTACCTTCTCCATTCTTATTTGTACATACTAGGAATTATTTGTACATACTAGGAAGATGCACGTGCTACGCACGTGGTATTTTTTTTTTGAAATTATTTTTAGTATTAGGTTTATATTTAAAAGTATAACATAATTATCTTTCATTTAGTTTAACAAAAAATTGTGTATTTTATTGAATAATGAAATATAGTATTTAATACTATTATATGAACTCTATGATGAATAAAATTAAAAAAAAAAAATTGGGTTAACCAAAAATAAAATTAATATTTTTTTAGTGAAAATGTAAATGCTAAAAAAATTTATAGTCTTTGATTTTGTTATTTAATGATATCTTCATTGTGCTTAAAATAATGATCACTATTATTGTCTTCATAATATAGCTTTCTAATGTCATCCTTTTACATCATACTCTTTGAAAAATAACTCAAATTTGCTATAACTATAATTTATAATGATTATTTTTATTTATTGTCGATTGGAAGCTAACAAACTATGTCTAAATAATTTGTTCTCAATTATTTCGATTACTGTGGTTGCAAGTGTAATTATATTTTCAAGTATAACATTTCATAATACTTAGATATATATAGGCCCTGTTTGTTTTTTAGCTTTTTCATGCTAAAAGAGCTTTTTCATCTATTTTAGTTGTTTGACTTTTTTAATCAGCTAAAAAGTGTGTTTGGTAAACATCTTTTACAAATAGCATTTTGGATCAATCCGCTAAATTTTAAAAGCTGCTTTATGCAGCGTTTTGATTCAGCTTTTCACTGTTTAAAAATTAAAAGTCCGCACTGCCCGTACTTTTCTCTCCCCCAAATATCAATCAACAAAAGAAAAGCATCTTTTCACTGTTTAAAAATTAAAAGCATTCACCGTTTATTTTTTTTTCATTTCTTTTATTTATTATTTTTTAATTATAATAGTAACTTGCGTAAACTTATTTACATTATGAAATATTTTTCATTTTATTATTATTTATATTTTTTATAACATTTGAATAATTTTAATAAATATTTAAAATATCAAATATTTTTATTTTCTAAATAATTGTAAGTTCAATATAAATTGGAATGATAAAGTATATTGATGTCCTTATAAGTAATTTTACATGTTAACAACTAATTAAAAAAGCTAATTTTATCAAACACTTTTTTACAAACAGCTAACACGATCAGCTGGTCAAGACAGTTAATGCAATCTGCTGGTCAAAACAACTAATACAATCAGCTAACAGCTAACAACTGATTACCAAACAAGGCCGTAGTTATTCCCGAGTCATAATGACATAAGAGATACAAAAATATTTGAAAATGTCTTTAATTCAAGTCGTAATTAACTAATTATTTCAAAAAGAAAATTTACATGAAAAGCATAGGAATAATAACATCTTTATTGATTGAAGTTACTCATATATCTATATATATTTTCCGACATAAATTATTGTTGCATCTCCTAACATTGTCATACAACCATTATCTTCATTCTCGAATTTTCAAGACTATCCTAAATGTGAATAATTACTAATTCCAGTTTCAATGAATTATGTAATGATGATTCTTTCATATTTTATTTTTATCTTTAACATTATTTTTATATCTTCGTCAACATTTCATCCCTACTTTTGCTTAAAATAATTATCATTAATATTGTCATCAAATATAGTTTTCTAATGTCATCCTTTTGCATCATACTCTTTGAAAAATAATTCGAATTTGTTATAACTATAATTTATAATGATTTTTTTTTTTTATTGTAGATTGGAAGCTAAAACATTATGTTTGAATAATTCGTTCTCAATTATTTTGATTATAGTGGTTGCAAAGCCATATTTGCAAGTATAACATTTCATAATACCTAGATATATATAATTTTTCTCTAGTCATAATGACATAAGAGACACATAATTATTTGAAAATGTCTTTAAAGCCATAATTATTTCAAAAAAAAAAAATTACATGAAAAAGCTTAGGAATAATAACATCTTTATTGATTAAAGATACTCATCTTTATTGATTGCAATTAGCCATATTTGCAAGTATAACATTTCATAATACCTAGATATATATAATTTTTCTCTAGTCATAATGACATAAGAGACTTATAATTATTTGAAAATGTCTTTAAAGCCATAATTATTTAAAAAAAAAAAAGAATTACATGAAAAAGCCTAGGAATAATAACATCTTTATTGATTAAAGATACTTATCTATCTACATATCTTGTCCAACATAAATTATTGTTGCATCTCCTAAAATTGTCATACATGCATTATCTTCGTTCCCAGATTTTCAAGACTATCCTAAATATGAAAATTTAATGAGTCTAGCTTTAATGAATGATTCATATTTAAAGTAAATCCACTATTTATTTTTATTTAATTAATTTTAATTGTAATTATTTTCTAATAAGTACACGCATTATAAAATTCAAGATTTAAAATAGAATTTTAGTTATTTTATTTTATTTCTGTAATTAATCTATTTTGTTTATATTACAATTCAGTAAATGCTATTTTAATTCATGTAACACATATTTATAAAAAACATTTATACTATACATACTATTAATAGGTAAACATAAATTATATTATGCATATTGTTTTAGTGAATAATTTAAACAAATATTTATGTTAAGATCATATCTTTTTTACTTCACAAATAACTTTTTTCCATAGAAAGTTGACATTTTGTATGTTGAATAATTATGTTTGATTCAATCATTCTTAAACATATGCATGTTCACTAAATTGTTCCTGTTTAATTGTTTTAATACCATAACCAAAAAATTGTATGGTAAACAATATAATATTTAGAAATTAAAGACTTTTAGTGGTGCATTATATATTTCACACTTATGAAATATCATATATTTTATTTAAGAAATA